TTTGGAGGTGACTTTTCTCTTTGCTCCTTCATGTTTCCTGTGAACTTTCTCTGGTTCTTTCTCATCTGGGTGCTTTATCGAGGACCAGAAGTGCAGGGACTGAATTATGAGCTAAATTCTGGAATTATGGAGGGATGACCCTTGGAAGATCTGGGGATATGTGCTCTGGACCTGTAATGTCTTAGAGGAGTTTGAGCCTGTTGGGTTATCTTTGATCTGTTGCCTTCACCATCTCTTAATAGAGATTAGTGAGATTGGATCCCTTGTTTAGACTCCCCGGCATTGTATCCCTTTTGTGAGTGTGACTCCCTTATCAACTACTAGTATGAAGTGTGAGGTACTGTGATGAGCTATGAGGTATTCTCTCTTTTTTGTTGCTTGTGGTTTGCGTGGGGAGGTCGGTTATCAAGCTATTCCAATACCTATATAATGACCTCTAAACCCTTAAATGTGGTAAACAGGAATCTCAGCCTTTGGGGAGTGTCATACCTCTCCCAGGGGATCCTTGAGCCCTGTTACCTATTTAGTTGGGGTGAGATAAACAACAGGTATCAGCAAGCCTAAGAGAGTATACTTCAGGGGTTGCTTGATCTGTGGCTAGAGAGGAGCTTCTAAAAAGTTATTCAGAGATCATTCACTGCATATGTGTGGCAGCTCCTGGTAGAAAGTGTCTTTTGGTGCAATTGTTAGGAATTCTGGTTGAGATTTTCCTTCTCAGAACACAAGCCTATAATTTGGCAACTGCCTTGATACCAAGGGCAAGCCCCTGTATTCTACTTTTTTTTTTTTTTTTTTTTTTTTTGAGGCAGAGTCTTGCTTTGTTGCCCAGGCTGGAGTGAGTGCTGTGGCATCAGCCTAGCTCACAGGAACCTCAAACTTCTGGGCTCAAGCAATCCTCCTGCCTCAGCCTCCCGAGTAGCTGGGACTACGTGCCACCATGCCCGGCTAATATATATATATATATATATATATATATATATATATATATATATGTATATGCCAATTAATTTCTTTCTATATTTTTATAGTAGAGATGGGGTCTCGCTCAGGCTGGTTTTGAACTCCTAACCTTGAGCAATCTGCCCGCCTCAGCCTCCCAGAGTGCTAGGATTACAGGCATGAGCCACTGTGCCTGGCCTGTATTCTGCTTTTAACATGATCCAAAACAACTTGCTGTAGTAGGGCATCAACTCTTACTCCGCCCCTCCAAGTATGGGGTTCATCTAGTTGTTATGAAGTCAAAGCCTCAGGACTGTTGAAGAGGCCCTGACCAGGGCCTCTGGGGGACATAGAACAGAGAGCAACCTGCTTGCTACTCTCCTCCTGCGTAAGTGGAGTCAGGCCCTTCCTTACAAAATACCAGTGGCCTGGGCGCAGACAAGAACCTTCCACAACCCAGATGGGTCTTAGCCCTAAAAACGGACTCCCTCACCACTGTGTGCTTCAAGGACTGGGGGCTGATCCTTTGGCTAAAAACCCTGTCTACCAAATTGTCTCCAGGAGATGGGCAAGGATCTCAGCTTGGGTAGCAATCTAGTGTTGCTGTTACTAAACCTTTTCAGGGGAGGGATCTGGGCCTTTGGTGAAAAATAGGCCAGCAATGGATAATAAGCAATAGGAGATAGCAGTCCAGCCTCTGGTTTCAGCTTGAATAACGGCTTGTTTCTCCACTCCACTCAGTGGTGGAGTCTGTAGTTTTGGAGAGAAGCACTTAGCTCAAAACCCCAGAACGTGCAGGGGGTACTATTGTCCCAAGTCAGAGTTGGAAAATCACTCTCCTTTCCAATTCCATCCTGATAGGGCAGGTTTTGTTCATTAGGTGCAAAACAGAGGTGGCTGGGTGTGATGGAGGACTGCCTGGAGAGCAATCTCTCTCCCTCTTCCCTCCCCTCACTGGTGGGACTTGAGTCACTGGGGTCTGCCAGGAGGCTTACCAAGGAGCTAGCTCCTTCCCTCTTCTGCCCCTCACCAGCAGCGCTTGAGCTGCCAGGGTCCACTGAGAAGCTCCGCTGAGGGGTGAAAACTTTCCCCTTTCCGTGCATCACCAGCGGAGTTTGGGCCACTGAAGCCCCCTCGAGGGTTCGTGGAGGATTGAGCTCCCTCCCTCTTCCACTCCCTCACTGGCAGCGCTTGAGCTGCTGGAGACCAGTGAGAGTTCCGCCAGGGAGTGAAAACTTTCACTTTTCCCAACGTCATCAGTGAAGCATGGGCTGCTGAAGCCCCCTGGGAGGGTCTGTGGAGGATTGAGCTCCCTCCCTCTTCCACCTCCTCATCATTGGTGCTTGGGCCCCCGGAGTCCACCAGACAACTCAGCCAAATGAGCGGCCTATCTCACTTTTGTGCCCCTTTGAAAGTGAGGCATAAGCCGCTGGTGTGTTCAGATCTCCCAGCCAAGGCGTCCCTGCACCGTGGGCTGGAGAGTTCAAATTGCTTTCCACTCCTGTCTCCTCTCCAAACTGCCTGACTGCCCATGTTACCTCTTCGTGCTGACTTCAGGTGTTTTGCTGCTTGCGTGGGTGTGGAGGTTGGTGAAGGAGAAAGCGTCCCCGTGTTGGACAGATCCCACAGTCCCGGGGGGCTGGGCACTTAGTGTAGCCGGCTTGCGCTCCAATCTCTGCAGTACAGCTCAGACTCTCAGAACTTTGGTCATTGATGGAGAAGTTGTCCACCTGTGGGACAGATCACACAGTCCCGTTGAGCTGGCCGCTGAACGTGGCCAGCTTGCACTCCAAACCCCACTGTACAACTCGGATTCTCAGAACTTCACGGCAAATCTACTGAGTCACTTTCCTCCTTTCCCCAGCATTGCTGACCCTCGAAGCTTCCCTGCAATTCCATGAAGCCAATCCTGTGGGAGAACTTCCCACTAGAGTGATTTAGACCGTTTTCTTCACCTCCCACTCTGAGAGCAGAGAACCAGGAGGTCATCCCTAATCCGCTATTTTTGACAATTGAGACTCTTTATCTTTTTTATGCTACCAAAATACTGTCTGTTTTATGTAATTTTTCAGGTTAGGCATGTAGTTATTCATTAAATGCAATATCTGACAGAATGCAATGTATGTGTAGGTACAGAATTACATCATAGGTAGATAATAAAGAAGAAAAACAAAGGGAAAAAACCTCTATACCTATCCCTTTCAATTGTTTAACCAATAAGATGCGGCTTCATCCTGGAAAAAGGAAGTCCCTGCAAGAGAGCATGTGAGGTGATGGAAAGGTGCCATTGAAACCAGCGATATCTGGGTTAGGATCCCCTCTCTATTATTTAATGCTATTCTTACATTTTGACAAGTTACTTGGCCTCTGTTTTCTCTAACAGAAAATGAGATAATAGTTGTTATGCTGCAGGGTCATTGCAGGTGTCTATGAAATGGTATATACATGGCACTATAAAACCATGGAGGCAGTGTCTGGCTCATAGTAACTGTTTAATAAATGTGAATTTCATTCCCTTTCCAGTAAACCAGTAGTAGGCAGATGTAGCATTGCATTCTAAAGTTATTTAAAATTCCTAAATGAAGGTAGATATCTGAGAAGATGTCATGGGGTTCAAAAGTATAATTCATTGTTTCTTAAGAGCAGATTTCAGAGAAACTTGACAGACTACTATACTGTTAGGCAGCCCTGCAGCCAGGAATCTTAAGGATAGCTTTTGGTTTAGTCCTAGCAGATTATTATTTGGACATGTCCCAAGAGACCTGGTAGATCATAAGCCCCATAAGGCTTCAAATCTTACTTCGTAGCACTGTTTTTCACTTTGACTGCACATTGGAATCACCTCAGTGCTTTAAAAAATACCAATGTCAAGTCCCACCTCCAAAGACACACATTTAATTGGTCTGGAGTGGAGTCCCAGGATCAGTGTTTTGTTTTTGTTGCTGTTGCTGTTTTTTAATGCCGCAGGTGATTCTTATCTGAAACTGTCTGTAGGCAAGCATAAATCCCTGGTTCATACTGTTTCTATCTCAGTATTTTCTATGACTGGAAAATGACCAAATATTTGTTTCTTAATATTCTTTTCATATGAAATAGTCACACATTGCCTTGAACTAAGTTCCTTCAGCATTCCAATTTAAAATGTTAGTGGATACAATAAAACAGAAAGGATAATGAAGCTAACACCCACCACCTGGTTTGACTATTATATCTGTTAGTTGGTTAATTGCTTATATCCGAGCCTGCAATATAAATTGCATGTTATCTTTTTTGAACATTGACAGGATATTAATGATTTATTTTTTATTGGTGTAATAATGGTATTTTGTTATATTTTTAAGTTTCATTTTATTTTTAATTGATACATAATAATTGTACATATCCATGGGGTACAGTTTGATGTTTCAATAAATACATATATTGTATAATAATCAAATCAGAGTACTTGGCATGTCCATAACCTCAAACATTTATCATTTCTTTGTTGTGAGTAAATTTAAAACTCTCTCTTCTAGTTATTATGAAACAGACAATACAATATTAACTCTTTTCACCTTACTGTGCAAGAGAACACCAGAACGCATTCCTCCTATTTAGCTTAATGAATATGCAGTTTTGGATCAAGAATGATATTGAAACTGATAGACTATATGAAATAACTTGATTTTGATCCAAAAAATATTTTGAAATTGAATATATAGCTTCCAAATACTTAATTTACTATAATGTTAGCCTATTTTTAAATTTCTGGAATTTTAAACAATTAAATATGATCTTAGAGAAAAAAATACTAATACTCCAAAATAATTATCTTTGTCTTTGTTTCAATCAAGAGATATATTTGATTTTAAAGGAAAAAAAGATACAGCCTTTAATTTTAAATCATATTTAAATCATATTTTGTATTCAGTATTTTATTTTGGTTAACTGGAACTGAAATCTATAAATCTGAGAAACTATCAGAATAATATTTTTGTCAATGCAAACAAAAAATATATACTCCATTCATATAATTTGTTTTATACAGTCCATTTTTCTTGATCCCTCTTTTTTATCTCTAGGCAATTTGACAGATCTGTTGAAAAATGGCGACGTTTTCATTACGATATGAAGATATTTAATCAATGGCTAACAGAAGCTGAACAGTTTCTCAAAAAGACACAAATTCCTGAGAATTGGGAACATGCTAAATACAAATGGTATCTTAAGGTAAGTTTTTGAGATTTGTTCTTCCAAATTATCTTTATCTTTACCACATCAGGACTGCTTAACTTCTTTAAGTTCAGGTTGTGAAGAATGGTGGACACTTAGAATTCAGGACTTTTGTTGTCATTATTATACATAATAGAAAATCATCATAGTGATAATATCAGGAAACTGTGCTATGGACTTTATATGTCAGGATGAGAGAGTTTGCCTAGACTGAACTGGTTTATCTGATGAACTGTGAAGCGTATTTGAATCTATGATACACGGAATCATCTTACAGCAGGGATGTATTGTGGTTTGGGGCAGTGTTTATTTTTGCCTTATGTTGGAACTTGTCCAGAAGGAGAACTTGTGGTATACTTAGCAATAATGTAGTTACTAGAAATATCCATCATGTTATAATTACAGTTCTGTTACCCTAAAGACAATTTGTGGTGATATAGCAATATTTCTATATATGCTATTGACAAAAAACCTTATGAGATAGTCCAGAGGCCAAAACAATGCAGAGTTAATTGGTGGTACTTATTGACTTTTTTATGGTTTGTGTTAATGGAGATGCAACATATGGATTATAACCAGTGTATAGTTTAATTTCAACTGTGTCTTTTGAATGTGCAGATCAAGTTAAATTAAATTGTGGAGTATATAATTTAGTTGGTAAAATATATAGTTTAGGCATCAGAAATATTGTATTTATTACACCAAGGCTTAATTATTTTGGCAACTTTTTAAATTCACATTGTTCATGTTGCAATTTTCTATCAAGTAGATTTGAATTGTGGCCAATTTTTAATGCCAGAAAATATATATTAAGACAGATGAAGGCAAAGAAAACAGTAGTTTATTAGATAGTTTAGACATTTAAAAATGCTGGATTCATAAAACAATATTATATTCAACTTTACAACTCTCTGTTCTCAAATATGTTTGCATAAAAAATATGCCTTTTGATATTAAGGAATTAAGCATTTAAATACCTATATATATGGCAAGCTATTTAAACACAGAAGATACATAATTTAAAATCTTGTATAATTATATGTATATCAATAAAACTTGTATGCACACCAGCATTGGCATTTGGATATAAAGGAAATTCATGGATTTCCAATCTGTTGTCATACAGAAGATACATTTATTAATAGCACTAAAGTAAATTTTGAGATAACGCAACATAATAAAGTCTCTGCCTGAAAGGCAGAAATATATTAGAGTCATATAACGTGTTTTAGGGAAAATATATAAACATCTTTCTATTTCCAAAGGTATCTAACACAAGGTAGTTATGTATTTTAATCAGTATTTTATTATAAAATTAATCTATACTAATTTCAGAAAAAATCAAGCAACATAGAAGTGTGTATATATCTCCATTCTATTCCCCCACTCTAAGATGGAGATTAGCATACAGAAGTTTTATTAGGGAGTGCTTTTAGGATCAAGCAAGTTGTTTTTGATGTGCCTTGGTGTTGTTTTCTTCATGTTATTTGTTCTTGAAGTCAGTTAAGTTTCTTGGATCTGTGGGCTTAACATTTTCATCACATTTAGAAATCTTTTAGCCATTATTTTTTTAACAACAATGGGACTCCAATTTCACATGTGTTAGGCTATTTAAAGCTCTCCCACTATTCACTGATGTTATATTCATTTCTTTTCAGTCTTTTTTCCTTTATAATTCATTTTATATAATTTCTGTTATCAAATTGACTAATATTCTTTAATCTCTAATTTGGTTAATCCCACCTAGTCTATATTTTTAATATCAGACATTTTCATCTCTTAGAAGTATGATTTGTGTCTTTTTTTCTTCCATGTGTCTACTCAACATGTTCAATTTTTCTTCTACTTAATGATATGGGATATAATTATAATAACTGTTATAATATCCTTTTCTACTAATTCTATCATCTGTGTCTATTCTGGGTCAATTTTAATTGATTTATTTTTCTCCTCATTAAGGGTGTTATTTAACTGCTTCTTTGGATGACTGGTAATTTTTAATGCCAGACATTATGAATTTTAACTTGTTGAGTGCTTGATTTTTTGTATTCAAATAATTATTCTTAACCTTTGTTCTGGAACATAGTTAATTTCCTTGGAAAGAAAATGATGTTTTGGGAGTCCTCCTTTTATACTTTGTTAGTTATGAGCAGAACAGCATAAGCCTAGATCTAATTTTGTCCTACTACTGAGGCAAAACCCTTCTGGGTACTCTCTCTGATGCTCTGTGAATGCTGAAGTTTTCTACTATGGCATGTGGGAATAGGCACCATTGCCAGCCATGTATTAGCTCTGGTGATTGTTTGCTTTAATTCTTTTGTGTAGTTTGTTTGTAGCTTTGAGTAGTTTTCTCACATATATGAGCTGATCAGGACTCAGCTTGAGACTGGAAGGGAGCCTTCTGCAGATCTCCAAAATTCTGTGTTATCTATCTCCTCTTTGGTATTATGGCCTGTGTTCTCTAGTCACCTTGGCCTGCTCCTACTCTTAGCTCCATCTCCTTCACTCAAGGAGGCCTCCTAGCTTATTGATCATTTCCTCTTCTTCTGTGTGAGCCTAGAACTTTCTCTCAACAGTAAGCTGGAGCAATTGTAGAGCTCATCTCATTTGTTTCCAACCTCTCAGGGACCATTGTCCTTCAATGTCTGATGTCTAGTGTCTTGAAAACCATTGTATCATGTATTTTATCTGTTTTTTATTTAAGTTTTTCAGGAAGAAGTTTATGTCTGGTATCTTTTACTCCAACTTGGCAAGAAGCAGAAGTCCAAAACAAATTATTTTGATATCATTTGATCTTTTGATACATTGCTATTACACAATCTTACAAATCTATAATTTTAAGTGTCTAGAGAATTTCTAAAGGACCTCACTTCTTTCATCAAAATTTTCCCTTAGAGAATTCTTAAGAGACTTTAATTTAGCCTATTTCTCAATCTATACATGAAATAAGAAAAAGGATTCTACATATCCAGGGAAAGCTCCCTCTAGCTAAGGATCTGTGAATGATATCACAAATCCTATAAACAGTTAAGATATTTCTTTCCTGGTAAAAGTAGGTCCAAAATTATGAACATGTGTACACATGTATATGCATATGCATGCACATGCACATACACTTATGTAAAATGCCTGAGGTTATCTTTCCATTCTGGATAAGTTTCTGAAAAGGGGTCTAGTAAGATACTATAAGACACCATCATTGCTAAGGCAAATGGAAGCTTTGGTAATTTCAGCTACCTTGGCCATTATCATTATTGATTGACAAATAATTAATAGTTGAAGGAATTTAAATATTTGCTATGAAATTATTTTAGAAAAAAAGAATGCCAATGGTATCTATTAGCAGCAGACAGATTTTCTGGCATGAACCAATAATGGTTACTGAGAAGAAAATCGAGCATTTCATATATTAAACAGATATGTACAGAGATACATTGGAATTTGAAGCCTTGTATGTAAAGTTTTCAGTAAAGAAATCATATTTAGATATAAAATGAAACAAAAAATATGCATATGTTATAAGTTTGTCCATATATATTTCTATAAAACTACATTCTATTTATCATTTTCACTTTAAAAATGAGAAGTTAGTGCCCTAATTGATGCTTGGTATTGTCATTCAAAATAAACTAACTGCCAATACCAGAAAGATGGTCTAGTTCCATGCAAGTCAATTATTTTGTTTCTCTGTCACAAGTGAATGATAAAATTAAATATATGCATCAATATTTTTCAAGATAATCCAAAGAAATATGCCATGCCACCATGAGGGACCTCTTTAAAAATACCATTTTTTTTACCCAAGAAAATATCAAGCATGTTATGTGTTACTAAAAATTGGTTTATTAATGAATTATTTCAATGATCTCTTCATCTCTATATGCATTCATTTAAAAAGCAGTAATTGAGTACATATTCAAAGTTTTATCATCCATTAAAATATTGACATGCCACATTAGGCATTAATAGAAAGAAGTTTAGAAGAAAGTTTAAGAAGTCAGATACTAGACTCAGAAAGCTTGGGTTCAAATCTCAGCTCCTTTAGCTTTATAGTTGTAGAATTTCATGAAAATGTATCTTCATTCTTTTCAAGTCTCTACTTTCTCTTTTCTGAAATGGAAATTTAAATGAGTATATAAAACACTTAGAATAGGATTTTCCACAAAATAGTTACTCATTAAATGTAAGGCCTTATTATCACTAATCACTCTTCATAAGTGATTGGCTCGTATCTATAAAAACTAAAATTTATTTACTGAATTATTGTCTTTAAATATCTGAAATGCAGAATAATCACCCCGGAAACTTAATTATACCTTATTTTTTATGTAATATGATATCTTCTCAAAATATAGCTTTTGGATTTAGGAATTGAGGAAAATTCCAATTCAGCCAAACACATCTGCTTTCAATAGCTGACACCTTTGCCTACTAATTTTTTAACTAACAAGAATAAATGTTAATGGAAGTTTTCAAAGGTAAAGCTGAACACCATGAAGGAAATTTATACAAATAAGGTTAACTCATATAGTGACAGAGTGAATTTTTGTGCCATCAAGTACTTTTAGTGAAACAGGAAAGTAGAAATCATGAAATGTCCTAATATTTAGGTCTCGGTTTTTCTAGACTAGAAAGAATTGTCTTAAAACACAAGCTGTTATTGAATGGGATTGAAAATTTCTACAATTGCTAGTAGAAACAATAAAAATCACCATTAGATTAAGTACTTAAAGGAGCTGAATATTCTTCTAATTAATGGAAATGGAGCCTGTTTTATGCAATAATGCTGCTGAGTCAACCATATTAAAAATTAACAGTACCTTCTAAAGAATGTTGCCATGAACAAGCAGAAGGTCTTGAAATCTTAAGAGATTCCACTTAAAATCAACCTTAAGAAATAAACAGCAGGGGGATTGTTTAGACGAAGATCTTTTGGACTTTAAATCAACAAATATTAAGCAAACATAGGGAGTAAAACAGTAATGTGTTATTTTGAC